GTCCAATACAAGAGCTATGGTAAAAATATACCTTTATCACTAAATAACCATATATGGAATCGTATTCATACGAAAACTCAGAATGGCATATTGTTAAAGCTAAAGCTAAATAAGGGAACCCAAATATTGGAAACAGCTCTCTGTGATGAATCCCACTAGATGTGCAGGTATACCCAGCAGTTTGCATGCAGTACACCACTGCCTCATCCAATAATGGTTGCAAATACAAATGCTTAGTATTAAATGTGTAGCCAAATAAAGACCCAGTGGAGAGCAGCACTGTTGTGTCTGTGCAAAGTGCCACTTAAAATTACTTGACTGAGACATTTGCTGCTTCAGGACAATCACAGCATCCACCGGTGCAGCCCGGTAATTGTGAACTTGTCCCATCAGCTTTTTTCCTGAAATGAGAAGAATTACCAAATACATCCTCACCCTACTTGACTTCTCTGCTTTTATTTTAATATGCAGAGTGGCTCAGGTGCTCATCAAAGTAAAACTGAGTTACAAAAACAAAACAGAAACAGAATGAAATGTTTGTTGAATCGAAAAGGAACTACATCGCTTATCCATTGTCTATAACTCATCTTGTATATCTGTTATAGCTTTTGAAAGTGATGCTGAAATTCCCCTTGGACATTTATAGGTCTGCTTACCTCCTCGCTTGTTGGGAAGTCAAGAAATGTTTTGTTTTGCATTTGCTCTCCACTGGCTACCCTTGGGAGCTGTAGAAAAGGTGGGTGGAGGAACGATGTAACACTGCAGCAAACCTTCCAATGTCCACCTCCATGTTTTCACTGGACTCTGGTCGCACAGTGTGTCGTCAAGGGACGGTGAACGCAGAACTGTACGACAGACACACATAGATTCATGACTAACTCAATATAAATGCAAAATTTTGCTTACTTGGCAGAATTGGCACACACCGGGGAACATTCGTTTAATTTTCCCTGATGGGTGAGAAGCTCTAGGAGAAGTCACACATTCCTAGCTCCTTCGCGCTGATGAATCACTGTTGCAACTTGAGGAAAAAAGTGTTACTACTCCACAAAACAGGACAGGCTGTTAGATTGTTTTTTCCTCTGCCATTAAAAGCCCTACATTTAAAAGATAGTGAAAAGAATGTACCCACAATGAGTGTACAGTATAGGTGGCCTTCAAGCTCATGAGTGCTTACTGTTTGTCATTTCTGATTTAAATACACGCAGATATATATGAACATTTGGGTGTGCCACCACTTCCTTATTTTAGGTTGAATCATTGAATTACTAGTGAATTATTGAATAACTGGAAATATTATTGTTCCTTTGTTATTTTGTTTAGTTATGATTGCTTCATTATTAATTTCATTATTGACTTTTTATGTTTTATGTTCTTTTTTACAACTGTGGTTGTTGTTAAATTTCTTTAGATGTAAAGTTGAGTTGAGTTGAGTAACATGCATGTTTATGGGATGTGGGAGGAGTGGCATACACAAGCGTGCAAAGCGAACATGCAACCTCCACTCAGAAAGGCTGAAACTAAAACCTCAATCCAAACCCCAAATCTGTGAAGTAGATGTTGCAAATAAAAGTCCAACATCTGAATAAATTAATTTGGGATTATGTGAAAAGCGCATTTTATTGACATGAACATGGGTTCCTAATTTACACTGGACCAGAACCATTTTTCTTAACACAGTTTTTAGGTTTATTCAACGGTTTAAATTCATGTTAGGAATGCACAGGATTTTTTTTTTTTTTTTTTTACCTTTTACTCAATTTAACATTTTACTTCGAACCTCTGGAACAAATTACTTTCCTGAGACTCAGAGGATTGCGCTCGCTGACTTAATTGGCTTTGTCTAGCCAGATCTAAATGAATAAACTCCAATTTATTTTAATGTGACTAGGCAAGGGTTTTGCCCTACCCTTCCATTGGAGAACTTCATGGGACTCATCACATCCCATTCGACCACTGAACCTTCCTGTCTCCCGAGTGTTCCGAGCATGACAAAGGATTGGTTCGAAATGATGGCAAGGCTGCGCTCGCTCAGCAGGGCGAAAGGAAATGCCTCACTCATTCTCCTGCTTAATTTCTCCGTGTAGATGCTTGTGCGTCCTCCTTTTCTTCTTTTCTCATCATTATTCAGCGGAGGAGCTGCTCTCACCGCTGCGTTTTGAAGGATAGGTTCTCCTCTGTCTAGCCCACGTCCTCTGTAAAGTGGCGGATGCTGGTCTGTCAAGGAGGGGAAGCTCAATTTCAGGCTACATCATAAAATGTGTCCTTTTATTTATACGTGAATTCTACTCTCCGTTCCTTTTCAAGAAAATGACCTGTGACCCTGTCATACCAACAAGGCGTCTTTTCCAGGGTCTTAACTGGGGTGATATAAGTCAGTCTGCGAACACAAGCAACTACAATAAAACACACCAGAAATAAAAGCTTAATCTGTTGCTAGTCGTTTTTAACAAAGAGAGTGTCGCTAAAATGATTAGAAGAAGTCTCCAGTTCAACTCAGAACAGAATGAGAATTGAAAAATGCTCCCACGGATGCCTACACCAAAAGATCGGTGATTAGCTCATTTCGCTGTCAATCAAAAAGAAGATTCAGCCTCAGACAGATCATCCAATCATCATGCAGAAAAGCTGAGCGTCCGGGCCAGCCCATAAACGCCCACTGTCGATAGACTCCCAGAGACGCTGAGCGTCCGATGTGCGGGATAAAACCAGTATTTATCCAATGACTCGTCTCATTTCAATGCATTGGGACTATTTTCGAGACGCCCAGCGTCTGTGCTGTAGACTCTCAGCGTCCACACAGTTTAAAGCACAGTGAAGCTGCGGGAATGAATGAGAAGAGAGTCGCGTCGTAACCAGTAGTAAGAAGCTGTGATTCGGAACAGAAGTTGAGTGCCTTGTAGCGCATATTTAGTCAATGACATGTACACACAATTGTATGTACCGGTACACACATATATTTGATCACTTATTTTTTGACATTTTAGGGGAAGCTGAGCTTCCCTTGCAGTCTTAAAGCAATCGCCTCTGCCTCTGTATCTCCTACAATCAGACGGTTATGGTGTGCATTTATGGCCCGAGTGCATGTGCTGTTTACATCAGTGAAACAGCTTCCTGCTCAGCACTTGCTGAACGATAGGACTTGCAAGTGGGCCCTTCTCGATGAATATTGATCTATGTGTCAAAGCTCAAAGCAGAGATTAGTCAGTTACGTGGTTTAAGCAAATTATAATTCAATACCAGTTCACTTTGATGGACACTGTGCTGCGTCAAAACAAATTTTGATATGCTGGAAGAATAAACAGCAATACATTCATTGAATTTAATGGTTACACCGTCAGGGCGGCATGGTGGTCGGCTGGTTAGCATGCCCACCTCACAGTCCAGAGGTATAGGGTTTGATTCCGATTCCGGCCTTCCTGTGTGGAGTTTGCATGTTTTCACCGTGCCTACATGGGTTTGCAAAAACACACCTTGTAAAATTTCAAAGTGGAAAAAAAAACGTTTTTTTCTTCAAATAAATGTCACTCCAATTTTTTAGCATCGCATCAGTACTATTCGTCAGCGGTTTGAATTGATAGAGACAGTGGAGGTAACCAGCCAAGACAAGTGTATTACTCGTGCTTTACATTCTGCTTTGATTTTTGCAAACCAATGCATTCGATTAGAAAATGCAATCATTCCAACCACCTATTATGTAATCCGATTAAGCACTCATGTCCTCTCCTTATAAAAGAGATTCATGTAACATCAAAAGCAGAGTTTGCATGCAGGTTGTAATTTTCTACAATGCTCTAAATTCTTCCCAGTCATACAACTCTAAACTGCATAGTTGATCACCTTCTTCCTTTATGTGTCCAAGTGACAATTTCTTGGAAGTGATAACATATCCTTTATTTGTCCTACATTGGGGAAATTTACAGTCTACAGCAGCAAAATTGGGGGTAGAAAGAATAAAGAAGAAAAACAAAGTGTTTGCATTCACAAATAAATGTTTCAGTTTCAATGTACACACCTATTGCATACACCCACAGCTTTCACTTACACTTTTGAAAGCAATAGTCACTACTTTCATGGCCATCTGACCTGCAACTTGAGGTCACCATTGATTTTATCAGGCCTCGACTCACACATAAATTGTTGTTTCAGTTGACATTAATTGAGGCGCTGTAAATGCAAATCAAGCTGTAAAACTAGAGGAGATGTACAAGTACCTTCCAAATGTATTGGAGCAGCAAGGTGTGTTTTTGTTGGATGCTGAATATATTTGCATTTCAGATCAAAAGATGAATATGAGACAAAAATGTAAGAATTTCAGCTTTTATTTCATGGCATTTACAGTGCACCTATATATGTCAAATAACGACACAGTAACTTTTATTGAAGCCGGCCACCATTCAAGTGAGCAAAAGCTTCTGGAATGGGCTCACTGGTGTTTATTTATGATGTAACTCACAATGGTAGCAGCAGCATTGGGTCGCACCCAAACTTAGTGGGAGAACCTTCATCATGGAATGAGACAATGACCCAACACATGTATTGGATCTCTATCAGGCGGCGTTGTTCCCACTAAATCTAACATTATGTTTTTCAGGGAAAAAAAGTGCATGTTATCTTGTGTATAACTTTGACACGTTTGCTCACTGCCCTTGAATATTTTCTGTTATTAATGATCATGTACAACTTGTAGCTTTGAGCTTTGAGGAAAAAAAAAAACAACAACTTTGAAACTGCTTATTGAACTACTTACCGCTCCCGCCGGTATCCCCCCTGCCTTGGCTGAAAGGGTGGTCTGCGCTCACACCTCCATGCAACAAAGCAGTCGAGTAAAACGACGATTGGTGGCTACCGTTCTTCTAGCGGAGAGATAGTAACGTCGAGTAAGCTCGCCATTTGCGCGCCAGCGTGCAGTCTGCAGCACCTGTCTTACCCCACGCATGAGACCGTGTGAAAGATTTTTTTTGGCAAAGGAAACACAGCGGAAAGCTCGTCTGTATTCATCCTTGGTTGATTTTATTGTTTAACTCGTTTGTTGGATTTGGGCAACGATTGCGTGCGGGCATCAAGCATGACACAATGCGCCGGTGTCTTTTCTCCTTAACTCTTGCTCCTCGTCGGGTCCGTGAAAAGTGGTGGATTTGCCCCAAGTGGAGCCTCTGCGATGCTTACTCCACCATGGGACGGGGTGCAGTGATTCTCAAAGGAGAGGCATCCCGAGAAAGTGAAGTGACGGCGGTGCAGTGAGCGCCCACCCGCTGCTTTTGATGCCTCCTCCGACGTGGAGCTTGTCGCTGTCCGACGCGCGACCGGTGCTGAAATTTGGATGATGCCTGGCCAGCGTCTGCAAGGCTGCCGCTCCCTGCACTTGAACGAGGACAACGGCCGCTTCGTGCTGCTCGCCCTCCTCATCATCCTTTACCTGCTGTGCGGCGCCGCGGTCTTCTCCGCCATCGAGCGGCCCTCCGAGCTGCGGGTTCACGGCCGCTGGAACGGGACGCTCCGCAACTTCAGCGAGACCTTCAACATCAGCCTGGGGGAGCTTAACTCTTTCCTGCGGCAGTACGAAGCGGCCATCGCCGTTGGGATCAGAGCTGATGCTCTCAGACCACGATGGGATTTTACAGGGGCTTTTTACTTTGTTGGAACTGTGGTGTCAACAATAGGTGGGTGTTTTATGATCTATGATTTATAATGTAGCAGCATCAAGTCATTTCCTTGACCCTTGCACCCTTAACAGTATCCTCGACATATTAATTTTTGAACTTCCTTACAAACACACTTCGGTAACAAACCCGTGTTTATTATTGAGCCCTTCAAGCCAATGTTTCCCAAACGACGTTTTGCCAATACACATAGTTTACATTAAAAATCAATTAAAAAATCTCATGGCATGCCACCAAACAAAAATGTTACGAAAAGTTACAAGCAGGTTAATTCCACAATGTGATTTGTGCCCTCTAGCGGAAGAGCATGTAATCCTTCTGCCATTGCTGGCCTAGATACATTTGTAGTAAATAAATACTTTTGCCACCGATTAAGTGAAATGGACAATTTCCCGTAGATGATCTCTCTTTTACTTTAAAACGAATCCGTGTGAACCGGCTTCCATGATAGCACCACAGTGTATGTATGTAAATTTATGACTATAACATATCACCATTCACAACTAGTTGTCAGACATACAGTTGTGCTCATGTTTACAAGTTTACAAGTGTACATTTATGAGCACAACTTATACGCATTTTGTAAGACCTACATCTCTCTCTCTCTCTCTCTCTCTCTCTCTCTCTCTCTCTCTCTCTCTCTCTCTCTCTCCATGCTGCAGTCAAGTGTGTCCTATTGGACAGCGTTGTGATTTTCTCATGAACACATGAATGATGAAAATACAAGTATGAAGTCTATCAACTACAATTTCAGCAACTTCTCCGAACTGAACCTGCATTTTGCAAACGAAATCCCTCATGGCATAAATTAATGTATTCAATGTATCAAGACAATAACAATAATTTGACAGTTCTGTGCTTCTGTCCCATAGGCTCCTTTCCACTGGCGTATGTGCAGAATGTTGCATCTGTTGCAAGCATTGCTGTCCCCCCCCCCCCCCAAGTCATGTGATACATTTTGGCTGCGAGGGGCTTTTGGCAAGGGGTTGACATCTGACTCTGCCTGCCATTTGGAACAGCACACTCATTTCTAGCTATAGGACAGCACCCATGGGTGCAGCCACATTTCGATTCAAACCAACTGGAATGCCATCTAGTGCCCCCTTCTGCATCCCCTCCCAAACCACCCCCTGTAACATTTACTCACGCAATAGGTCAGAAAAGAGCAAGTGTCCCTCCCAGGATATCCCGCGGGCCAATGCTGCGGTGATGGCCTGCATGTATGATGGCCATTACTCTGCCACCCGGAGCATAAAGTTAAATGATGGAGGAGGTGAGATCCGGTGACGATGGGAGGAGGACAGTCACTGTCCGACCTTGCCCTCTACACTAGAGGTTGACACTGGATTTTCTCTCTGTCCCATCCTACTCAGAAAAATAATCTGTCCCAGTCCAGGACCATCGTTAAAAAAAAAAAAAGAAAGAAAAAGAAAGAAAAAAAAATCCTGTCCAGCTCTCTCCCAGTGAAAATAACTCCCGCTCCTGCCCTGCTCCAATTCAGAATGTCTCACACTCACATACTGCTCACAGTTTGGAGGTTGGCCCCATAAAAAAAATGGCTGCGCCCCTGTCCGAGGTTATGTTTGTTTCCTAGTGGATGATCCCACTCCTGACTTGTGAACTTTTTTTTTCCTGTAATACCGCAATCCCATGATTAAAAGTAAAGATAACTCCCAACACAAGGGAATCCCGCGGGATTCATTTGACCTAAAAAATGTCACCTTCTACTCTACATACATCCATACTGTATATAGAATATTTACACAATGATGTCCTTTCAACGAGAATCCTGTACACTTAAAATAAGGTAACTTGTAAGACGTATTTACTTTGAACTGATCTTCTTGTGTGCCTTCCACTTTTCTTACATAAAACCCACCAACAGAAAGCTCCAGGGCAGTACGTGCACTCAGCTCACTCGCTGAGAAGGAAGCCGTATTTGTGTGTTTGTCTGCCTCAAATCCTTTGTGCTTCATTTGTCGCACACTCTTCCCCCCTGAAAAACACAACCCATAAACTGAATCAGTCGTCTCTGTCTGGTTGGGGGAAGGGGTGATTCGGAGGTTCTCTCCAAAGTGTTTCATGCGCTTGCATGGGTTTCTGTTTGGATTTCCATCTCGCTTTGATCTGCATACCACCCCCTCCCCTTTGGCTCATGTGCGGCGTAAGATGCTGATATGAAAGGGATATGGGGCCTCCCCACACAAGGTGTTATCACAGTGGCATCCCCCTGTAGCTCTAGACAATCCTCCCAAGCACTTACCGCTCCCACTGTGGTCAGAGAGGATTCAGTCCCAGAATGATTCTCACCTCCATGTGGCACCACAGTATGGCTGTAAAGGATGAAAAGTTTGCCTACATTTGGTCAGCCTACACTCGAGCTGCACTCGGTGTGTTTGCCAAGTTGGGGGAATACTGCAGAGCGCAATCACAGAAGAAAGGCCATTCCTGCTAAAGCTGTCACAATTGGGCAAAAACATTGTGGGGACTATTTTTCAGTCAGCAAAAATTGAAAAAAATCCCACTTTCGTTCATGAAAAATAACAAAAACTAAAAACTATCTGAAACTGCATTTTACTTTTATAAAACTATCCAAAAATAACTATCACTAATGAAAATGGCCATCATTTTCATCTTGGTCAAATTAATATCATACATGAGCTTTGGGGATTCATTTTAAACATTTATTTCGGTATTGCTGTACCCTCATACAGAAGATGAAGGGTCAAACAGTCATGAATTATAATTTACCTTACTTTATTACACATTATTTATTAACCTTTTTTTTAATCATGCACAAGGCAAACAGCCCACCCATATGATTAAAAAAACAAAAACTAATACTAAATCTAACAAAAACTAACAAACTTGCTCGAAAAACAAAATGACACAAACTGAATTAAAAAAAAAAGTCACATCAAAGTCAAAGCAAACTATAACGCAAAAACCAAACGTATTATAACCCTGTCTTGCCTGCATTCGCATTTGGTTTGATGGCTAAAACACAAACACAAAAGTGACGCATACAGTACACTCCAAAAATGGCTGACATGATGCCACAAACATCTGCTGTGAAAACACGATATTCCTGTTGTGATTCATGTTGGTTATTGCTTACTCTCACCAGACTATATTTTATAATGGTAATTATGAAAGAAACATCAATTTTTATGTTCAGCTCTATTTTTGTATGCTTAAGACAACTGTTCCAATAAGGTTTTATAGTCCATTGTAGTTTGCTACCAATATATCCACTATCACATAATTCCAGCGTTGTGATATTGTAATCATTATTGGCAAACAATTAGGATAATATCATAACCATGGCAAGGGTGCACTTCTGCAATCATCACCCCTAGAAAACACAGTGTTTGTCCATAATGCAAAAGTAATATTTTGAAAATTCTATAAAAAAGGTTTTTAAAGTAACCCCGCAGATTTTACTTCAGAGCATCACTACAAAGTAGATGTAAACTTATCACCAATCACTTCACTTTTGATATTGCTATTTTTTTGGGGTGGAGGGGGGCAATTTGAATTAAAATAAGAATTGGTTAAACTGAAATAGTTCATGATTAGTTTGCAGCAAATGATTCAGTCTACTAGTTACATTATAGAACTAAGGATATATTGATGGTACCCAGAGGAGTCAATATTCTGTGCAGAGTCAACTCTTAGCTGTATTGGGAGTGAAGCTGTTTTTTTCCCTTTGGATGTGTTGAATAAAACGTGGCATTCTCTCTGGTCCTTGTGGCAAACACATTGCATATTTTCCATTTCAATAAAAAAATCAGCTAAGGCGTCCACCAGGGTCCCAAACAGTAACTAATGTTCACACCTTGCATGTTCTGCAAAAATAATGATGATGGTGACGGCTTTGACAGAAAACCTATGAGAATTACCTGTTACATCAGGGAGGTAATTCTATACAAACAAGTTCATCCGTCTGTTTTTGTCTCTTGACAAAAACAGAGTGATATTTGAATGACACTCGCGATATGATGAATTCAGCCGCAGCTCACAGTAAATTACGGATGATGCATGAGTAGCACACGGAAAACAGGACAGAGGATTGCTGGTTGTTCATATTGTAGCTGCCTATGGCTGCAGCACAGTCTATGACTGGGACCGCTTCTAACTTTTGACTGTGGATCAAAAAAGGCCAAACATTTTTTTAAATAAAAAGTATCTGAGATAAAAGGGCGAAAAAAATTATGACGTGCATCAGACAAATACTTATTACTCTTATGTTCCTATACAAGTCCAAGAGACTTTTTATTCTCCATCCAACGCATTTGTGTCACCCCACTTTGGATGTGCTCAAAGAGAATTCACTGCTCATTAAAGGGGGCACTTGAACGTATTTGGTAAACAGACATTTCTATGAATGCATCATCTGCTATTTATAACCTTTGAGACTGATTGATAGCTGATGGCTGCCAATTAGAACAGCTCTCCAAATCCATTTATGGGGCTCAAGATCTAATTTCGGCTAATTTTCATGCTTCAGCGGCATCCTAGAGATGTTCTTTGTTGTTCGGAAGTACTCATGGTAGGAATCAGGTGTGCTCGGTGATGAAGAGGGTCAAACCAATTAGAGTAGCTTTCCATGTCAGCTGCAGGTTTGTATATTGGGTTATTGCCCTTCCTCTTTTTGCCCCTGGCAGGCTAACGCTACAGGCTCCCTCACACTTATAGCCACCCACACAGACAATTTGCAAGTGCAGACAAGGAATCTCAATTCAAAAATTATAGAAGGACTCACTGCTTTGATGTACACTTTCATACAAAAGTAGAAACAAACTTCTCCTTTTGACTGACACTGTCAGAGAGATATTACAAAGTCTCTCACAATTGCATTGATAAAGGAACAAAACTAACAGTGGCCAAAGAATTTTGCCGAGTCCTGCGTTGTAACGGCTGTGGTTGTAGTTTGCAATCTAATAGCATTATTCACTGGTATCAAAACAGCAGTTCAGACAGACTCTCTCAGTCTTATA